GCGGTCCACGTACCGGTTTCCTATCGGAACGGTATGTACCACCCGCACCGAGCGGTATCATTCGAAATTGTATACCTTTCTTCAGACAACATACGTCGAAAAACCTATTACAAAAAAAAAAGAGGTAAAAGAGATGTATCTATGAAAATTAGAAAGAGGTGACTTAGATAGCAAGGTGTTTGTGGAGTCTAACATGACCAAAAAGAGTATAACTTTAAAACACATCAAATGTGACAAGGGACATGAAATAGCATATTTCAAAATTTTGGCAAAATGATGACCTAAGTTAAATGAGAAGAAAAGGTAGAACATAACATGCTAATAGATGGATATTATACTAAACGACGTTAATGCAGGATACTACATCCGAGGGGTACAAGATCTCCAATCATCCACGGCAAAGATAACAATGGGGATACAGAGACAATTACACCCTAAGAGACATTTACATCTATTTTTACTAAAATGAACTGGTTTTTTGTCTAAGTAGCTAATGATAATCAACAAGCAGCATAAAAAGGTTTTGCTTTTTTAAATATGCCTGTTATTAGCTCCTTTGATACAATAACCATAAGGTCCCTAGTAAGTGGACATGAAAAGTTGGATACAAAATCATACCAAAATCAAAACAGATCAAAAAGTAATCATCAACAAACTAGAACCTAGCTTCCTCTTATTTTGAAGGGGTTTCATTGTCATTTTTGCAGTTGGGAATAAGTTTTTATCTTACCAAGTATTTGAAAATGGTACTATTCCAACTTAATTGTGAGGGCTAATGAGGAATCCATTAGGCCAGAAAACACAATAGGCTTTACAGAATCAGAAGTACTAGTAATTATAATGTGAAATAAGCATGATGTCAATATCAAAAAGGAGATGAAGACAAATAAGTTGACGATGAATTATCAACTACAAAAAACAAACCCTATATATGAACTAGGAAATACTGTCAAGTTGCTAAACTATCCATTAGCCACAGATATGCATGATACTAACAAGTTCACCATTTGGTCTTATGGAAGAAGAATGATATGAATGTTGAAGCACATTCTGGTCCAATTCTTGTGGCATAAATTGTTTAAGATGAATCAACTTACCAGATGAAGAGATTGTTTATGAATACGTTGTAAAGCATGAGTCCAACGTCTGAGAATTTCAGCAACATCAACTGTAGGATGAACTATTCCACCCCTATCAACCATCTTTGAAAGAGTCTCACTTTTCACTTGAGGATGAGGTAAATTCATCTGCTCCTGAACATCTACAGGTGAAGACATTTCACCAGAAGAAACTGATAGTATGCCCGAATAAGGAACATGTGAAGTTGGATCCATAGCTGCAACCAAAGATGACCCAGAGATGCGATATCTAGCAAATCAAAGTAAATATAATGAGAATCCTAGTTATTATGGAGGAATTTCTACCAATTATTGAACTTTACCTATGGTCACGATGGGCTATCAAATCCTCAATCGGGCCGGATGCTAAAACTTCATGTTGACCTGCATATCAAATAATGATAAAAGACTGAGATGAACAAGATATCAATTTATCACAAGTGGAAAGCTTAAAAAATGTCAAAAAGGTGAAGAAATTACAATTCCTTCATTAATGTACAATCAATAAAATAATCAATTGTCCTTAGATATATTGACCTTTCTCCAAGAGCTCCAGTAATCATCCAAATAAATGGTTCAATTACTTCCAAATTCATGAGTTTTCGTACTAACTTCTCTAAACCTATAATAATTATTAAAAGTTCGATTAGAAGTTCTACATTGAAATCATTGTTTTGGTATTTCACAGGTAAATCAGTATTTTGGAAGAGATTCACCAATCTAGTTCATAGTATTTTGGTAATGATGTACATTAATTACTTTCTGAAGTCACTTGCAAGTTGCAACATTAAGCAAATTATTTTGGTCTTTGAATGGATTCCAGAATAAGAATGGTTTGTCTTACTTTGGTCTTTCAGTTGTTAAAAATATATAACTGATCAAAATAATTTTGATTGGAACCTAATTTCAGCATCTCAACACATATCATGGAAAGTGCAAAAAGCATCATGAACTGGGATATGAAACTTAGATTAACTGAAAAGAACAATGCTGATGATTGTATTCACAACACCAGCAACCTAGCATAGTAAGTAACTTCAATGAGATAAACCAGACAATGTAGCTCCTATTGTTTTAAATTAATTACTACTAACAAACAGATCAAGTTTTAATTTTTGCAAAGAGTGTGTGCCGAAAGCATAATTCGAGCCCAAAACCTTGCAATGATCTGTCAAAGTCTTTACCAGCCAGGCTAGCTAGCACCTTCGACAATGACAACTCCATTTTAGTCTATATGCAATTACTGAGATATAATCTCCTTCAATTCAGATTGTTAAAATTCAATTTAAGAAGGGCCATAAGTAATGTCAATGTGAGAATAGTGAACATAGGGAAGTATGGGAACACGGATTTTTGCCATTCTGTTGTTAAATAAATATTTACCCATTATAAAGTTTTAACAGGGCTTAAAACTGCAATTAAAAATAACAAAAGCCCTAATGAATTTTGTGTACTTACTCCTTCGAGCTAATAATGACTCCCAAAGGCGAGTAGCCTTGGTTATTAACTGTGAATTCTGAGCAGAACTGGAGACATGATCTTCACATGATTCCCCTTCCGATTTAGCTTTGCTTCTTATGTCCTGCAGTTTTTCCAACTCTTGCTGCAAATAGGCCTAAATAAAGCAATTGGCATTGAGAAAGATAATATCAGTTGTGTTGTCTGCAGAAGTAAATATAAAGAACTTGGAATCAAGGAAAGCCGAAAGCTGCAATTCTATGAAAGAAACTACCTCTTCAGCACAAAGACCACGAAACTCAGCAGTCATTTCATGCGCCAAGTTTGACCAAGTGGTTTGTCTGTGAACAGCAGCATTTGCATTTTTCAGAAATCTTCTTCTTTCAAGAGCTATTCTAGCCTGCTTAACAAAAAAAATATTACTAAAAGATAAAGCAAGCTCACTAAAGTAAATATAATCTGTTAACGATAACAAGAGTATACTTTTAATATTTTATATTACAAGAAAAATATATTCAACAACCCATGTATTCCAAATTGTTCATAGACAAAGAACAATGCAGTTAGAAAAATATATATACACAAATTTTAGCTCAAATCTAAGGCTTGAGAGAAAGAACCAACGTAAATCTGATTTTGCATGTTTGTACTGAGTTTCACATTTTAATCTAACTCAATCTGAGAAATTAGTTAATATACCTGAAAAGATACAATAATTTAATGCATAAAAAATGTTCTGAATCCACATCAAACCATTGGATGAGGTTTAGATCAATTTGGTAGTTCTCCATGCCTACTGACAACTAGATTACAAATCCATCATCACATTTTAGGATAGAGAAGCAATGAAAAAAAAATTAAAGATGATCAGAATACAAGATAAAAGGTCCAGTATGATTATTAACATGGAGAACAAATAAAGGAATGCAAAGACAACTTGTGGAAAAAAAAATAGAAGAACAATAATCACAATCAAGCAGTTAAGTCAAACTGATATGGGACTTGAGAATGAGGAAGAATGGAAAAATAAAAGAAGTGATAGGTCGATGCAAAAGGCAAAGGTAACATTTTCATTTGTAATGTAACATCTTGCATCATCAAAAGGATCTTCACTTGCTCATTTGATATTTATTAGAAATTGGGTATTGCTTTTCTAGTTTTCAATTCTATACTGAGAATTGTGAGTGGCTGGAAAAGAAGATCCTGGCTGGAAATTAATAGATGCAATACCCCAAGTCAAGAAAGGTACACTAAAAGTTTACAGAATTATCTAGTATCAAGCCAGTGAAAGAAAGAACCAATTCATGAGATTACCTTAGTCACTGGAAGCAATGCAGCAGCATGTTGATAGGAAGCATCTGTTAGAGCAGGAGGCAGAGGATTAGAAGCAACATCAGCAGCAAATGTTCGTTTGTGAACCTCTCGCAAGGCATGCACGGAAAGTTGCCACAGAAGCTCAACAAATCTGCATCCAGGAATCCGATAATGTTCCATGTCATAAAGGTTACAACAGTGTAGCAAAAGAATCAAACAAAGGAAAGGAATGTTGTCTTGATGTCTTGTAAAAGGCATATTGTCTTCTATCAATACATTTAAAATATATCTATAAAGATCCTTGCAGAACTTTAATATCACTCGGCTCTATCACAATAACATTTCCCCAAATCAATGAACAGTAACTATCATGTGTCTTGACGTCTTCTTTCATCATGTTTAGCATACAGCACCCTAAAATCCTACCACCAAACTCAGACCCCAACACCCTTAACAAACTTGGGAGTCTTTTCTGCTCTGGATCATTCCTAACCACATCAGGTGCAAAATATTATAGAGTGTGATCTGGATACATAAATTTTAGATTATTTGTTCCTTAGCACATGAGTACCAGGAAAGAATAAAATTAACCACTAAATTAACTTGATTTGGACTCGCTAAATTCAAGTATGAGGCTTTTTCAGAATTATCATCTTCATGGCTTTTCTTTTTCATTGAAGATACTTCTCAACAAACTGAATGTTACCGATGATCGTAGGAACATGGTCTCCGGTTGATTTTTCATTTTGAAGCTACAGAGAAGAGAATCCTTTGTTTGGTGGTAATGAATATTAAACCCAATTATTTGGGTTGTCTACATTTTTCTTACCATTGAGCTCTATTGGGGAAAATATTGTTACTCAATCTCAATCTAAATCAAGCATTTTAAATTATTTCCAATAAAGATTCAAAATATTTCTTTTTATCTCGTCACGCCATTAGTTCTAATATACTTAACCTGTCTATAGATCCCTTTTTGAGACACATGCCACAGTAAATGGGTTTTGCCTCAATGAAACCTCAAGTGGAGCTATTCTCAATTCTTTACGAATATAAGGATATACATAAATATATTCATTCAGGCCTCTTCGATAACTACACATGTCAATTCTAACTAAGTTTGCCGTTCACCGCATAAAAGAAAAAATAACACAAATTGCAAATAGGACCAATAACCTCAAACTAGAAGGAAAAAGGAATCTGGATCCCATTCTTTCCATATGGGAAGCCAGATATCAAAGAATGGAGCATAAGAAGTTAACACTTGACAGAGAACATAGAAAATCCCTGTGCTGACCTCGGCCCACAACAAGTTGCAAGGGACGAAACCCTAGAATTACTCCGCGGCAGCACCCCTTGCGATTCTAGCTCACTAATAATCCCTTGCACGATCTGCAAATCAGAAACCAGACATAATTATCCAGAATAATTTACATGAATAAGCAAGAAAAATTGACATGAAATCAGCGATGAAGACAAACCTTTCGGAAGTCACGAGACTGGGCAGAGTCGAAGATAGGCCAAACTTTATCAAAATCCTACAAAGAAAAATCAGCATATCCCTATCAGCTTTGAGAAATTAGGGAAACCGTCCGACAATCTGAATCAATTCGATCTCGTTGCCTTGGAGGATCCGCGGAGGGCGCAGAGTAAGAAGTAGAGGAGCTGCTCGCCCAACTTGGGATTCGAGTGGCGGAAATGCCCCAGCCTGGGACCGCCGCCGAGAACGGCCGGATCGAGGCCGAGGAGGAGGCAGTTGGTATACATCGCGTTCTCGAGCTCCGCCTCCCTCTCTTTCTCTCGCTCCGTCGCCATCTCTCCGCCCCCTCTTCGATTCGATCTTTCTCTCTCCTCCCTCTCCGCCTCGATCGTTCAATAGATCTCCATGGACGGGCCTCTCGTTTCTGTCTCCGTCTTCGTTTCTTTATTTCGAAGGTTTTGGGGCTGGCCAAGACGGAAAGGGCCCACCATCAACGGAGGCCGCCGATTGGTCCGTTTGAAATTCTCGGGGGGTGCGGACACCACCTGTGGTGTAGTTACCGGCGTGTGGAGTTCGTTAGGGATTCCAGGCAACCAAGAACGACTCCCTCGCGCCGGATATGATCAACGGGATCAGTGCGTGAGATCGACGGTGAAGAAGCGTTGGGTGTCGTGATCGGGTGTTCGTGTTTGAGTGTTGAAACCATTACTTCGAAACGCTTGTACCGTCTTACTCATCTTCGTACCCGTCCGGTCGAGATGGGCCCACTGATGAATCGCGACAGGCGAACCGCCCCGTGCCGATGCTTGTCTTGGTTGTTTGAATTTGAAACGACGTTGGTAGACGTGGATGCAACGCACCGTGTACGTCCGATGTCGGGTCAAACTCAACGTACCAGTTTTATGACAATTATATTTCATTTCTC